ATTGTCTTATGGTTGGTAGTGCAACTCCTTACCACTAAGCCACTAGAGCTCCTTAGCAAAGACCATTGTACAAATGAAGAATTTAAATGAATGATTGTAATTTCCCAATAAAGAGAACAGAGTATTTAGCAACAAAACCAAAATGGTAGCTTGTCATCAGAAAAGTAGAAAAAACTGTAAAGAGACCAGAATTAGAATCCCAGTAAAGTGTTTACTGTGTGACATGGAAAGTTGCTTAAATTCTTTGCACCTCCATTTCTTTATCTAAAAGTGAGATTAATAACTCAAAGGATTTACATTCTTGAAAGAAAGACTAGGCTCGTCGAATGCATAGTACTATCCCTGTCACTTGGTATGTTTTCCATAATTGGTGTTATTTTTAGTATAATAATATTTTACAGTCTTAATAACAGGTGCCTTCAATTGTCAGAGTGGAGCACACACTTCTGTCAATCAGAACACTCATAGTTGGCAACTTAACAATAATGTGCTTAGTAGAATATTCTTAGTAAAACTATAACACTGTGTTAAATTAGACAAACCTCTCAACATGCTTGATACTTCTTGAATTGCCAGTACATTTATTTTCCTGTAAATTTTAGACATATTTGTCTATTGTAAATGATGTTCAGTTTTGACTCTGTGACTTTAGTAATGTTAAAGCATCCATCTAACTCTATAGAATATTGTATGCAAGGGCGGTATATTCGTGTTAGATTTGTTAAAGTTTTGTTGGTTTCTTTTTTTTTTTTTTTAGTCTGTTGGAAATTGCACTAAATCAAAGAACCTTGGGTGGTCCAAATCCCAGCAGCTGCTCCCAGGAAAAAATGATGGGCAGTGTCCTTCCATGCAGTTTGTAGCCCTGGAAGCCAGCTAGAGCGTCAGCTATGAGTTGGTTCCAATTTAACAGCAATGAGACAAGATAAGACAGGAGGACTTTAAAGGAAAGTGGAGAAATCAGAATCCAGTGTTTTTAGATACGAGTATTTGTGTTTCTGGAGACAGTGCAGTCAAAGTTACTACAAATGAACACTGAATTTAGAGAAGGCTAAAAGAGTATATTACTGTTAATATTCAGATGCCCTTAAGGATCATTGTTTACAATGACTGTAAGCCCACATAGGAAAGATGGCAATATTTTTATTGTGCTCATGGTAAAATGGGCTGACACAGTGACTGTAATGGTTCTCGGTGAGGATGGAACCGGGTAGGGTGGGTTCTGATCTGCTGTTCATCCGGGCTCTGTGAGTCATAGTCTGTGTGATGGCACCTAACAACAGCAGCAGTGGTAAGGAGTTACGCTGCCAACCCAAAGAGATGGAGTTTGAACCCACCAGCTGCTCTGTGGGAGAGAGAAGGACGCACTCCTGTACAATTTCTAGCCTTGAAAACCTGCTGAAGGGTCCTCTGTTAGTCGGTTTTGACTCAATAGGAGTAAGAGTGAATTTAAAATACTTTGTGATTCAAGAAGATGATATTTAAACATTTTCAAGTGTAGAATTTTACATATTTTTTTTTAGCATCAACTAATTGGCAAGGCTTTTATAATGACATTTTGGATATCATAGTTAAATAACACAAGAGAATCTTCCTAAAAAATTAAATTCCTTATAATTCTTATGGGTTATTATAGCACATTATGGTTACTGAAGAAGGGATCTCTCTGAGAAATCCGTGAATGCTGTGGACCCAGGGACAAGTGAACATATTCATTTATACCACTCAGATTAATGTACAGGAGGTCAGAGCCCTCCTGAGACGGGCTGAGGCTTAGCCTCAGGAGACTGCAGGTTGAAATTCTTAGCTTTATCACTAGGATAGATTTGGTCTCTAAATAAGACTTTAATAAAACAAATGAGAGTCAACATTTTTAGTGCTTTCCCTTGACGATAGCTTGTGCTATGGAAGTATTAGCTAATAGTTATAAATTATTAACATCAACTAGTTATTCTCTAGTACTCAGCGTGTAATGTCTCAAGCTGCTAACTGCAAGCCCTGCAGTTCAAATCCACCAGATACTCTACGGGGGAAAGACGGGCCATCTTCTCCTATAAAGATTTGTAGCCTCGGAAATCTGATGAAGGGTTACTATGATTCAGAATTGACTTGACAGAAACAGGTTAGTTCTTTTTTAAGGAGTCCTGGTGGCACAGTGGTTAAGGGTTCAACTGCTAATTGGAAAGTTTGGTGTCTTGAATCCCCAAGAAGATTTGTGGGAGAAATAGACTGCCACAGTCTTCTACAGAGCTGCTCATGGGTTAGAAACAGCCTCTCAGCACCCAGATGCTTTAACCAAATGATAATTAGTAAGACAACATGTGAGGGAAAAGAAAAAAAGAAAACTGACTTTAAGAAATGTTGTTATGTACAATTGAGTCAGAACTGATTCATAGCTGACTCTCCAGTGGGTTTTCAGAGGCAGTACATCACAGAGCAGAATGCCCATTTCTTCCCTGGGAGCAGCTGGAGGATTTGAACTGTATGCCTTGGAGTTGGCAGTACATGCTCTAGTGGCCAGCAGGGCTCCATATGGCCAACCAGGGAAGGGTAAATTGTGCTTCTGGGAACTGAACAGTGAGAGCCTGTCCATCTGTAGAAGATAGACTGTGGATATGATTATTTGGATGGTCCTTTACAGAATAAAATATACGATAATTACTTGGAATATTTTGTATGTTTAGGCTCTCTTGTGTCAGAGTTCATGAGGATGGCACAGGGTAGGGCAGGGTTCAGGTCGGCCGTCCATGGGATCACTATGAGTCGTATTCAGCTAGATGGCATCAATACCCAGCAACAAATCTGTAATACAAGACAGATAAGGTGGTAGTTTTGTCCTACTTGTTACATACCCTGCAGCAATAAAGTCATGTCCTACTAAAGGTAGGACCCAATAGCCAGAGCAGCCATGTGATGATGACATCTGATCATTGACCATTAACCTCTGGAAGGGGAAAAAAAGTGTAAGAATTGTAGGGAATTGAGTTTGAGCTGTGTCTGTGTACTGATTGTGAAGGACCCGCGTTTTAGCTTCTGTGACTTTGGTTTTATTAATGAATTTTAGTCTTCGTATACAGTTATAATGCTAATAATTATCATGTGTCTTAATGTGTTGTGAAAATAGTGGAGCGAGCTAATGCTTCCTGAGTGGAGTTGCAGCGTTTGGGTTGGCAGTGCAGTTCCTTGTCTCTAGGTCACTAGAGTATGTACTGTCAACTCCAAGGCACATGGTTCAAATCCCCCAGCTGCTCCCAGGTAGGAAATGGGCATTCTGCTATGTGATTTACTGCCTCTGAAAAACCCAGTGGAGGGTCAGCGATGAATCAGTTCTGACTCAACTGTTCATGACAACGTATCTTAAAAAGTCAATATTCTTTTTCTTCCCTGTTGCTGTAAAAAGGTGCTCAGAGAAATTAAATACTTTGCTTAAAATCATGTAAAACATAAAGCAGAACCAAAATAAAAAAGCCTGCATGTGTGATTCCAAACTAAAGCCTCTGTTCTTTCTGTTCATCCACATTGCTGAGGTAATAGATGTAAAAACATTTTGGAAATAGTGAAGTGTTGTTTAAGGCTAAGATTATTGTAATATAAATTTTATAATATGAAATGAAATGAAACACTCTTCTACCTGCATTCAATAGCCCCTTTCAGGTTACCCTTCCTGAACCGTGGGTACAGCACCCCTGCTGGTCTCTAAGAATACAAGTGTGTATTTCTCCTGTGAGCAATTTTCCCCTTTGCCCAAATTTATCTTTGTTTTGCTTTTAAAAAACTTTTTTTTTTGGTTGTTGTTATTTTTAACCATACAGTTTGAAAATACTTTAGAGTATGTATAGCAAAATCTAGGTGATTTTGGAGATTTTAGTAACTAGTAGAAATGTTTTTCTGTCTCGTCTTGATCTTTCATTTCCTTTTCCATTGGAAGTCATTTGTGGGCCTTCGAGTAGTTAGGTCAATGATCAGATGTCATCACATGGTTGCTCTGGCTTTTGGGTCCTTCCTTACCCTTAGTAAGTCATGACTTTATTGCTTCAGGGTATGTAACAAGTGGGGCAAAGATACCACCTTATCTACTTATATATTTGTGTCACTTTTAATAGGATATTTAGTTTGAAAATTGAGTTATTTAATTAAAGTAGGTGTTTAAAAGAAAAAGAAAAATGTTACCACCCTCTCTGTTCCTTATGTCATCAGAGAAATTTCAAAGTTGCAAAACAGGAATAGCATACTCCAGGAAATGTAGCAAGAGGGGGGAAATGCGGTTTTACTCTTTACAGTAAGTTGAATAGGATAATTTTCCAGGAATTTAATTATGGGCTACGCTTTGTTTTCTAGGTCACATGGTTATATTTGTCCAACATTTCTATAAATTATTTTAGTAGGTTTCTGTTTCTCTTTTTTTGTTGATTCCTTCATTTACTTTGGGTTGTTTTTCTTTTCCCCTCATGGTTGGGGATGCTGTACCATAGATTCACCAGGGCTGTTGATGACTTTAAGTTTGGCCCTTACTGGATACATGTAATTCTGCTTTGGGTGTTTATGTCTGTTGAGCCAGCTCTTTCAGCCGTGTGGAATCGTGTTGGGAAAGTGCGTATCTGATTTCTATCATGATCTTTCTCAAGCATCTTTTGAAACCTGGAACACAGTTATAGCATTCAAGTCTTATTAATTTCACATAGGCATCTTATTCTTTAGGGCTTATTGAAATGAACTCTGGAGAGACATTTAAACTGATTATGACCTACAAGGACAGAGACCATAGTGTTTAAAAACTAGAATAACCCTTTTCTTATAAGTAACAGTTGCTGAATGATAGTTCACAAGGTCTTTCTATTTTTTTTTAAAAAATGTGACTTTTAGTATTCTTACTAGGAATTTATATTTTTATATTAACTAATTTGTGAAGGTATGCATTATAATGTAGATAAAATGTAAGATAAATTATATAAGAGTAATTTAAAAATTGCAAATCTTACACATTGTAAAACTCTCCTTTTTAGGCATATGGATCAGGCTGTGATATTGTTATTTTGGCAAGTGACTTTGAATGTGTGCAGATCATTCCTGGTGCTAAGCATGGAAACATCCAGGTCAGCTGTGTGGAGTGTTCCAACCAACACGGAAGAGTAAGAGATTTAATGACTTTATTAAATGTCATCTTTTAAATGCTGGAATAATTTTTCAAAATGAATATAATTTACTTCTCTGATTACTGATGGGAACTGTGGTAAAGTTGTAATGTGCCATTAATCTGATCATCTGATAATGACTACAACTCTGTGCAAATTATATACAGGTTGTGCCATGTGGATCTTGTATATACACTGAAATGTGCCATTAAATGAATCATCTAATTATTCTACAGCTAGATGTTAAGTACCGTTGCATCAGGACCGAGTGATAGCTGACCCACTAGTGGGTTTTCAGAGGTAGGAAATTGAATAGAAGAAGGAGCAGCCTGTGGAGTCGAACCATGTACAGTTGGATTGGCAGAGCAGTCCTTTGCCACTAAGCCACCAGAGCTCCTTCTGTAACCATATTTTATCTTGAAAGATCTGTTGTCACAATCCTATATATATGAATATTCTGCCTTTTGATAGTTTTAGCAACCATTAAGAGCTTATCAAGCAATTAAATAGTTGTTAGTATATTTGTATAGTCTCTCTAATTTAATGAAAGCTTATATTGAGCAAAGAATAATTTTTTAAAGATAATTTTTAAAATGATAGGGTATTATGGTTATCACAAGAGTCCAGAATTAAGGTTGCATGGTGGAGTGTACTTGGGGTGGTGGGAGGGGTGCGGGGGGGATTGAATACCAAAGAAGGAATTTTTCTTTTGCTTTTCAAAGAGAGGAGCGAACTGGGGAGTGTTTGTGGGGGATGGCTGGGCAGGGAGAAAAGTGCAACAGTGAAAGAATGGAAATCCAAAATCTCTGTAAATGTTCATTAAAATTAATAAAATAAAATAAAAAATTGTGATTTTGGTCAGGTTTTATAGAGCAAATCAGTTTTTCATTCAACAAATTGCATACGTTTTGTGTTGGGCTATTGATTGGAGTCCCCACCATGTGACACCACTCATCTCTCTTCTTCCCTGTGTTTTCTTTCTATTCCTCCTGCCTTCTGGCCTCAGAACTCTGTCTTTGGTCAAATCCTGCCTCTTGAGCTGGAGTGGTTGATCTAAGGAGTACCTCCTATCTCCCTTGTGTTATTTACACCTTTTAAACCAGTGCATATATTGGCTGAAAATTTGAGTTCAGTTCCAAGCTTGAGGAGGGGCTAACGGCCATAGTCTTGGGAGTTTTCCCAGTGTTGGTCTATATTTTGTTCTACATTTTCCTCCAACTCTAGTTAAAACTTTGTATTGTGATACTATGTAGAGTGGTCAGCAGTAGTAGCCGGGCAGCCCCATCTAGTTCTTCTGGTGTGGTCTGTTAGTCTTTTGGACTAATTGTTTCCTTGTTTCCTTGTCTTTGTTTCTCTTCCTCCTTTTTTGCTCCAGATAAGGAGAGTCTTAAGGGTTGTATCTTTGATCAACACTCACAAGCTTTTAAGACCTTAGTCAGTACCTAGAAAGTAGGGTCTATAACAAACACTGTCTTTGTTCACTGTGCTGTGCTGTGTGACCTTATGTCCCCTATGATTTTGGTGCTCCTTTAAACTATGGTCCTGACACCCTGGACCCAATAACTGAATGAAGAATTTAATAGTTCATTCATTCAGACTGTAAAGCAGAGGGTTTGCTTTTAAATAGTTACATTTTTATCTCCCCTCTCCTACACTGTCATACATAAAACAACATTAGAGTTTGGGGTTTTTAAATGAATTTTAATGAAAGTTTACAGAGACTTAGGATTTCCATTTATTCATTGTTGTACTTTTCTCCCTGCCCACCCCTCACCTCAATTTGCTCTTCTCTTTGAAAAGTAAAAGAAAAATTCTTTCATTGTTATAAAATCCCACCCCCCAAGTCCACTCCACTGTGCAGCCTTTGTTCTGGACTCTTGTCATGCCAATAATACCTAATCATATGCCCCTTTTAAACTGTTCTCTCCCTCATCTGTTTCAATGCAGTATTTATCCCCTCTTTCTCAGTCTCCCCTCAGCCCCAGTGTCAATTCTGTTTTACAATGGTGGCACTATGCAATATTTGTCCTTTTACAACATTAGAGTTATAAATATTGCAAGTATTCCATCCTTCCTTCCTATTCTAAATTCCAAATGTTCTTATTCAGATACTGTCACATGTTGAGTTTTATATATGTTGTGTAATTATTTTTCACATTTTATAGGTAAGTAGATTCTAAATCATTAAACACCTGTTTCCAGCATTTATAATTATGATTGTTTGATTCCATAAATCTCTTTTCTCATGGCCTTATAATCTTGTAACTAATGCCAGTCAGCTTCTTATTCATTTTTTCCATTAAAGTTCGGAAATTTCACTTGTATATGTCCACTTGTAAATCTTTCTCATTCAGTGAATTCAGTGAACATTCAGTAGGTTCTTCCAGATAAAACTTAAAACTTTCTTTAGCTCCTGGAAGTTTTTCTCTATTAATTAAACATTTATTACCATCTATTGTCTCCTCTCCCTCCTTCCTAGAACACTTTTATTGTTTTATTCTTTTGTGTGGCAAGTCAACTATGAATCGTAGCAAACCTGTGAACAGATCTGAACCTTCCTTGTCCTAAATTAACCTCAAGATCTTTGATAAGCTTCACCCCATTGTCACAGCCACTATCTCATCCATCTTGTTGAGTGTCTTCATCTCTTCCTCTGGCCTTCCACCTTTCTTAGCATGAAGTCTATTTTAAAGGACTAGTCAGTATGCCTAAAGTATAAGAGACAGGGAGCCCTGCCCACCAAACTGTGCTGCTCTATGGTTTCACCCTTACTTATGTACAAGTTTTAACTAGTTATCCTTCTATTTTTACAATAATGGTATTATGTTGTATTTGTCCTTAAGAGATTGCGTTAGTTCACTCAGCATCACGCTCTTCATTCTCTCTGGAGTTCCGTAGAAGGATCCAGGTGAAAAGACAGGGTAATAATGGGCAAGGTCCAATGGTGATTGATTTTATAAAACACAATACATGAGAATGATTGTATGAACACAATTGTGAATGAAGAATAATGTGAAACACAATGTATATGAATGAGACATAATGCAAAGGAATTATTATATGAAAACCAATAAAAAATAATAAAAAAGAAAAAAGAGACAGGGAGGTCTAGTGGCCTACTGGTAAGAAACTGTGCTGTAATCCCAAAGGGTGTGGTTTAGGTCCACCAGGTGCTCTGCGGAGAAGGATGGGCAATCATTCCTTTTTTTTTTTTTTTTAAATTGTGATTTTAATAAAAGTTTACAGAAAGTTTGGCTGGGTAATCTTTCTGTGCGATTAAATTGCCTGTGAAGATCAACAGGTTCTGATTTGATGGCACTTAACAACAGCAGCAGCGTATTTACTATGCAGTGTAATACTTAGTGAGGTTGATACTGTGTAACAGAGTTGAAGATCTCTACAAGAATATAAAAATTAAATTTTTGCAAGTTCAGAGGTGCACAGTTCAAATCCACCAGATGCTCTGCTCGAGAAGGAGGAATAATGTCCTCCTGTACCAGTCAGATCTGATTTGACGGTACAAAAAATAATGAAATAAAAAAAAATTAAATTTTTACCAGACCCAAATTTCATATATTAAATTATAATGTTTATTATTATACACAATATGTAAATTTATGTTGACTAAGAAATCAGAAAATAACTTTGTTACACCATTTCCGCTGTTCCTCATGGCTGCATAGATTCTTCATATGTGTGATTTGACATTGCAGTGTATATTAAAACACATTATTTTGGTGTTTTCAGGTATTTTTTCCTTGCTTTTCTGATTTTTTCCCCCCACTTACATTTTCTGAACATTGCTTAAGCGTATTTTACAAAACACTGAGAGTGTCTGATTTCACTCATTAATTTTTCACTGTTTGTCTTTCAAGGCCAAGAAAGGTAGCTTTAAAACCTGCCTGAGGAAACTGGTGATGCGATAGTTATCAGAGATGAAATTTGTTAAATTATTTATGTACTGGTGATAATCTCAATTATCAAATTCTCTAAGAGCACAGTTTTTGAAAATGTAAGACAGTAGTGTTTATATAACCCTTGAAACCCAAGCATCTGTTTCTTTTTCTTACCTGGCTGAAAGTAAAAGGGAAAACTGTGAAATGTTGAATTATAATTTCTGTTGCTGTCTTCTTGTAGTCCCTCTGTCCCTCTCTCTTTCCTGGGGTGATAACTTCCACATTTGTGATACTGTTAGCCAGTTAGAATCATTCACTAATTTAATTCACATATTGAATATGAATGATTTTTTTCTAAAATGTTACCTCAGCCTTCTTGAACATACCTTGGATTGCTAAGAAAACAAACAGATCTGTCTTGGAGAGGGTGAAACTATATCCCTCCTTGGAGGCTAGGATTTTGAAGCTCTGCCTCACTTACTTTGGGCATGTGGCCAGGAGAGATCAGTCCTTGGAGAAAGACATCATGCTCGGAAGGGTAGATGGACAGTGTACGAGAGGGAAACCCCAGATGACATGGATTGATAACAATAACTAGGACAATGGGGATTGGTGTGGCAGAATTGGTGAGACTGGCCAGGACAAGGAAGAGTTCAGAGCTGCTGTACATATAGGGTCAATATGCATCACAGGCGACTCAACCAATAACATTCTGTGGCAGGTTTGGAAGCAGGAGTGGCATCCACTTCCTATAAACAACTTGCCTCCAGAAACTCTATGAACTTTTGATAAATGTTGATGGTTGTAGAGGGGCTTCAGGCCTTTTGTTCATAGAGTTGCTATGAGTCATGCTCGACTCGAAGACAATCAACAGCAACAACAACCTCAGCCTGGCATTTTAAGAAGTTTTGTCCTTCCAGTTGAGGATCCTGGTGGCACAGTGCATCGTGTATGGGCTACTGACTAACTGGTCAGAAGTTCTAATCACTAGGCCTTCTTTTGGAGATTGTAAAATGGAACAAGCTCAGCTGGGAGTGGGATTATTGTTTGAGTAAAACATTTTTTTAATAAAAAGTATTAAGTATTCTACCTGTTCCTGTTAAGTTGGTTCTAGATTATTAGCAACTCTTACAGCAGAGTAGAGCTGCCCCATAAGATTTCCAAGGCTGTCACTTTTTTTCAAGGTAGATTGCATTGTCTATCTCCTGGAGAATGGCTAGGGGATTGGAATTGGTGATCTTTTTGGTTAGCATCTGAGTGCTTAACCACTGCACCACCAGGACTCCTTAGGTAGTAAGTTAAAAATCACTCTTGGACCGAGTGCTGTGAAGTCACAGTCTGCCTTTCTGGCAGTCTCTGGAGAAATGCACCCCTCATTTTGTTTTCTAATCTGAGTACACAGCTGTCAGAAGGATGAGGATTCTTTTCACTGTAGTTGATTCTCTCTCGCCAAAGAGGTGGATAAACTGGGAACTTGCCTTCAAAGGATAATTAGAAACCAGGTTTTGGTAGCTATGGGGACTGAAAGGATTTCTGTCTTAGCAGGTGTATGCCGTGGAGCAAAATCTTTCCACAAATCTGGCTTTTCTGTCCACTGGAGACATCTCTCTCGCCGGTGGCACCTGGTGCAGTGGGCTCTCCCCTGTTTTTCTCTATTCCTCCTTTTAGGTGGCTTTCCTAAGTTGGTATTGTCTGGCTTTTGGTGTAAGTAGTGGTGTCATTTTGTTTGGTAATTGACTGTAAGACCGATGATTTCTTCAAGTTTTTTTTTCCTTAAAATTTTTAAAAAATATTTTCACATTATAAAATTTCTGGCAAAAAGATAAAGCATATAGATGTATTTTAAAGTTATTTCTATAATAAAAAGAAGAGTGCTCTGGTGGCTTAGTGATAAGGAATTGTTCTGCCAGCCCAAAGGCATGTAGTTTGAATCCGCCAGTTGCTCCATCGGAGAAAGATGAGCAGTTGACTGACTGCCTGCAAAAACTTGCTGGAGGGTCAACTATGGGTTGATCTGACTTAGCAGTACCCACAACATATTAAAAAGTAAAAAGGTAAGTATTTCCTAAAAAATATAATTTCTTTCCACATGTCAACCTTACATTTGATAAAATAAAACTCACTAACAGAGAAGAAATTCTTGTCTGATATTTTTCTGTACACACACACACACACACACACACACATTCCCGCCCCATATGTATACATATATTTATACATACACCGAGAAACCATTTAGCTACATATTTATTGAAAATATTGTTTTATGATTATATAATATAAAATTAGTTTATAATTTTAAAATAATAATTTTTAAAGTAAGTATAATTATGAAAAAAGTTATTCTTTATTGTATCTTTTCCTAAATACTGATGTTGTGTTCATTGTTTTTTAGATTGCAGCTTCGTATGGTAATGCCGTTTGCATTTTTGAGCCCTTGGGCATAAATTGCCATAAGAGAAATTGTGTAAGTATTAAAGGATGCTAGAAAACTTAGAATTTTGTGAACATTAGAGTCTAGTTGATCAAGAATAAGTTCTCCATCATACTCATCTTTACATCCTTAATGCCTGTAATTGCTGGTACATGGATCCTCAGTAAATGTTTATGAAAATCAATCACCTCCCAAATAGCAACAAATAAAAATCTGTAAATTTGAACTATATTATACTTACTTGAATAATTTCCATTCTTTTTAGAAAAAAATAAAGAATTAAGAACTATATGTTAGGATCTTTTTATGCAGCTTATTTTGTGGCCTTGGTTAAGTTTTCCCCAATGTGCCGGCATTCTTGTTATTTCCATTCTGTATTATCATTCTGTTGAGCTAGCATTTCTGCTCCTCCTTACCCTCTTATTTGCTTTAGGGTGAGTGTTGACTGATTGGCCTCATATAGGTGACTAGGGTAGAACAGTACAAATGGATAATACTGTTTATAAACTGTTCTCTCTTTGGCTGAAAGGTAACCTCTGGGAGTAGCATTAGTTCCAAGTTCAAAGGGTGATTTAGGGTGTTAGTCTTGATGATTCTTCTAATCTCTGTTAAGTCCAGTCTTGTGTTATTTTGGTTGTTTAAGGACTTTAAATCTTTTCATTGCCTTTCCCCTATTTCTCCTGGGAAACTGAGGAAGACTTGAAGCAGTTGTTGCAGAAGATAAAGGACTGCACTATTCAGTCCTTGGATCACATCTCAACATAAAGAAAAAAGAGATTCTCACTACTGTGCCATTTGGCAGCATGATGATAGATAGAGAAGAGATTGAGGTTGTTAAACAATTTCATTTTCCTCACGTCCAAAACACTCTTGGCACCAGCAATCAGGAATTCAGAAGACGAGTTGCTTTGGGAAGTCAGCTCTCAGGGACCTCTGTAGAGCTCTAAGGAGAAATAATGTAATTCTAGAGACTCATGTGTACCTGATCCAAGCCATGGTCTTCTCTATTATTTGCAATGCATCTGAGAGCTGGACAGTGAATAAGGATGACACAAGAAGAATCAATGCCTTTGAATTGTGGTGCTGGGGAAGATTATTGAACATACCATGGACGTCCAGAAGAACACACAAGTCTTTCCTGGAGACAGACTTTGGGCATATTGCCAATAGGGACCAGTCCTTGGACATGCTTGAAATGTGGAAGGTCAACTCAGGAGAAGATGACTCTGGATTAGATGAATTGATAGTGTATGGCAAAGGAAGCAGGTGTGTCAGAGACAGTGAGATTGGCTCAAGAATAGGGCAAGATTCAGAGCTGTTGTTCATAGGGTTGCTATGAATCATAGTCACATTCGATGGCACTTAGCTGCAGCAACAATAGCTAAAGAGCACAGCAGTGGTGTATTTAAAAAAACATTTTCAAAACAACTATGAGATATCATCTCACCCCAGTAACAATAACAAAGTTCAACAAACAGCAAACAAATGCTGGCAAGGTTGTGGAGAAATTGAAACCCTTATTCACTGCTGGTGAGAGTGTAAAACGGTGTAACCATCATGTAAGGCAGTATGATGCTTTCTCAGAAAGTTGGAAAAAGAAATACCATTTGACCTAGCAGTTCTGCTATTACGAATATACCCTAAAGAAACCAGAGCTGCCACCCAAACAGATATATGTACACCTGTGTTTATTGCTGCATTTATTTAGAATTGCAAAGAGATGAAAGCAACACAAGTGTCTATCAATGAATGGATAGAAAAACTGTGGTATATTCATACAATGAAATATTGTGCAGTACTGAAATACAAGGGCCTCATGACCCTGGAAGACATTATGCTGAGTGAAATATCTCGGTCACAAAAGGACAAATACAGCAGAACACCACTGTTACAAAACAGGACTGACCTGTTGGTTGAGGGAAACAGAAAAGAGGGTTTAAATAATGAATACTGCATTGGAGCAGATGAAGGAAGGAACTATTTAAAAGGAACATATAATTAGACATTATTTGTATGAAAACAGTCCATAAAGAGGTACATAGCAAAGTGGACTGGGGGAGAGGGAGGAAATTATGCAACAATGAGTGAAAATATATATATATATATTTTTTTAAATTTATTTTTTTTTTAAAGACTCGAATGATGCTCTTTTGTTGGGTTTAGAAGGGGTCATGGTACAAGAGATATTGTAGCTGATGTTAGATGGATCTTAACTGAAAGAAGGGAATACCAGAAGAATGTCTATCTGTGTTTCATTGATATGCAAAGGCGTTTGACTGTGTGGATCATAACAAACTGTGGCTGACTCTGAGAAGAATGGGAATCTCGGAACACTTGAACATGCTAATGCGAAACCTATACTTGGACCAAGAGGCAGTTGTCAGAACAGAGCAGGGAAACACTGCATGGTTGGGAAAGGTGTATGCCAGGGATGTGTCCTATCTCCATTTCTTTTCAACCTGTATGCAGAACAGATTATCTGGGAGGCTGGACTCTATGAGGAGAAGTGTGGTGTCAGGATTGGTGGAAGATCTATTAACAATCTGCATTAAGCAGATGACACAACTCTCCTTGCTGAAACTGAGGAAGACCTGAAGTGCTTGATGAAGAGGGTCAAGGACTGTAGCTTTCAATATGGATTGAAGCTCAATATCAAGAAGACAAAGATTCTCACCACTGGGCCAATTGGCAGCATCAGGATGGATGGTGAAGAGATTGACATTGTTCACAGCTTTAGTTTGCTTGGCTCCAGTCAACACTCTTGGCACCAGCAGCCAGGAAATAATAAAACATATTGCAATGAGAATGTCTGCTGTTAGGGACCTCTCCAAAGTACTGAAGAGCAATGGTGTCTCTCTGGAGACTAAGGTGCATCTGATACAGGCCATGGTCTTTGCAGTCACTTGTTATGCATCAAAGATTTGGACAATGACTAGGAAGGAAAGAAGGAGAATTGATGCCTTTGAGCTGTGGTGCTGGAGAAGAGTATTGAATGTAACATGGACTGCCAAGAAATCAAACAGATTCATCCTGGAGAGGGTTAAGCCAGGCTGCTCCTTGGAGGCAAGGATTCTGGGGCTTCATCTGACATACTTTGGACATGTTATAAGGAGGGACAGGTCCTTGGAGAGGGACATGATGCTTGGGAGGATAGAGTGACAGCACAAGAAGGGAAGACCCTCTGTGAGGTGGATTGATTCAGTGACTGGGGTAATCGGGATGGCTGTGTCAGAAGCAGTGCGATTGGCACAGGATACAGCAGGGTTTAGGGCTATTGTACATAGGGTTGCTATGAGTTGAGTCGAAAGTGACTCAACGGCACATAACAACAACAACAACGAATAATGGTGGGTAGGGAGGAAAATGTGCAACAATGAATGAATGAAAAATTGAACTTTTCTGTAAACTTTCATTAAAAATCACAACAAAGAGGAAAAAAGTTAAAAGAGTATTTTCCTCCCTTTATTATAAAATAAGATTTTTATATGATAAAATGTTTTACTGTTTCATGTTAAAAATCTGCTTCCAAGTACACTTGCAATAATGTTATTGTTAAATATTTGTAAGATACCCTAAAGAAAAGAAAATCGCCTTATATTAAATTACCATTACTTATTAAGAAATTAGTGCCCAATTTGATTAAGATTGTTGTTGTTGAGCACTGTCGGGTCAGAACCACCCTGCAGCTGACCCTCTGGCTGGTTTTCAGAGGCAGTTAATCGCTCGGGAGGAGATTGCCCATCTTTCTCCGGTGGAGTAGCTGGTGGATTTGAACCGCTTGTCTTTGGGATTGCAGTGCCACGTCCTGCCATGAGGCTACCAGAGCGCCAAACAAGTTTATATTGTAAATATAAAAAGAATGAAAGAATATTTTTTATTTATGTATTACTAAGAAACATTTAAATATTGTTTACTTAGATAACTGTATTTAATGACTAAAGCTTTGACTTTACCAATTTTAAATCTTCCTTTTATCTTTCAGAATTAAAAAGTAAAAAACATGAATGGAAATTATTAAATGAAAAGAAATACAGTTTAAATCTGTGGGTTATTGATGGACATTTTGGGAAGTGGTTTTGGTTTATAGGATTATAGGGAGCTCTGGTGGCTTAGTGGTAAAGAGTTGTATTGCAAACCCAAGGGAGTGTGGTTTGAATCTGCTAGCTGGTTCACAGGAGAAGGATGGACAGTCTTCTCTGATGTGATTTACTCTCTTTGAAAAATCACTGGAGGATCAACTATGAGTCTTGTTCTGACTTCATGGTACATAACAACATGTTGTTGTTGTTGTTTAATGCCGTTGAGTCATAGACGACTTATAGCAACCCTATGAATGAACAGCCTGAGCACTGTTTGTACATAGAGTTTCCGGAGGCAAGCCCTTTTGGAAGTGGATGCCGCTCCTGCTTCCAGGCTTGAATTAGTCGGGAAGCTCCAGCCAACACTGTCCACCATGGGTGCCCATTACCACGATTGGCACATCACTGTCACAGGCTTCAGCATCACAGCAACCACATAACAATATAGAATCTTGCTAATTTGCATTCTTTTAATATCTATGTATTCAATTTTAAGTAAACACTTATTGAGGAGCCATGTGCACACTGACAATTAAGATGAGGAAGACATAGAACCTACTTTGGGTGAGTTGCGATTTAATAGGAGAGTCATACCAAGTAAAAAATCTCTATGATCAGGGTTATGGTAATAGAATGTAAAGAGTTCTTTTGTTGGTGCCAGATGTCAGAAAAGCTTTAAAGAGAAGATGATGATTTGGTTATATCTTGATGCTAGCATAAAGGTGATGTAGTCCTTTACTTGATGGACTGGTTAAAGGCTGATGGTTTGAATCGTGCAGGAGAACCATGAAGCAGTTTGTTTCCATTGAGATTTTCATGTGTGGAAATTTGTTGGAGAGTAGCCATGAGCTGGAATTGGCTTGACAGTGGTGGCTTTTATTTCATTAGGTGATGAAAGAATAGGAATTTGCAGGTAGAAAAGAGAGAGGAAGGACATCTTAAATGTCAGCATTTATTTGAAGGCATGAGGGAGTTCCTGAGTAGTGCAGTTTGGTAAATACTCAGCTGTTGTCACTGGGCCCTTACAGAGGTGCCTCGAAAGAAAGGCTTGGTGAAAAACCAGTCATTGACCCTGATGTACCTGGGCACACCACCATTTAGAGATGACTCAGTGGCAGCGGAAATAAACCTGGAAGGGAACCTCAAATAACATCTCTGTTTGGACATGGCAAGCAGCTCAGTGTTGTAGAATAAATAGTAAGTGTCTTTTAAGATATTTTTAAAAAGTAAGAGTAAAATATTGGCAGTTTTGTTTCTGATCATAAGCATTTTTAGTTGAGGAAGTTGATAGTATTCATGGATATTAATTTAAAAACATATTTTTTCTCCCCTCTCTTCATGTTTCAGCAACTAAAGTGCCAGTGGCTTAAAACTGGACAGTTTTTCTTGAGCTCTGTGACGTACAACTTAGCATGGGACCCTCAAGGTATTTCTCCATTGTTTTCTAAAAATAGGATAACCAAAAATTTACTTTAAATGTATGATTATAATGTGATAGAATATAATAAGAAAGTGATCAGTAGAAAGGTTTTTAATAAATGAGTGCACTTCTTGGTGTATGCTTCTGAGTACATAATAATTATTCTGTGATTTCCTACCACCCTAGAGTATTTTAGTCTAAGAAATGGTGATTTGTTCCTTATTTGACATGTCCTTATGCTTTATTCTTTGTGTGCTAATTCCTACAATCAGAAACAAAGTAGGAAAAAAAAATTAAAGAAATAATTTATGTTTCAGCAAAGTATTACTTTAATTTAGAAGGATTGGAAATGTCTAATGATATCATCTGTTGTCCCTGGCCCTCACTCATGATTACCACGTTGCCACACACTTTTAAATTGACAACAGTGCTTAGAAACACATTTTGCCGTCATTTGTGGCAACGTGTTAATGAAGGCAACTTTTAGATTTAACATAGAAAAATGAGCTTTCACGAATTTGTAGTTAATATTTTATAGGCTGTGAACGTATTTATTTATTTTGAAGTTTGTTGTTCTACTTTTGTGTTGTTTAAAAAATTTATTTACTTAGTATATCCGTAACAAATCTTTACAAATAAGCTTTTATGTTTTGTTCTCAATTCTTAAGAATTATTCTTTTTTGTCTAGTAACTTCTTAGAAGTATGGAAAATGGTTTTCATAGATAAGATTGCTTACTTGTTACATTTATGGACCTACAAAGAAGCTCATATTTGCATTTAGCTCCCTAGATAATCCTTGCTTATTCATCAAAATGTTCTTTGATTTTTAGATAACAGATTGCTGACAGCAACTGAGTCTGTTCAGTTGTGGGCCCCTCCAGGAAGTGACATTCTAGAAGAGGAAGAAGAAATTGATACTAAAAATACTCCTGTCTTAAATGATTGGAAATGCATCTGGCAGTGCAAGTTAGTGTCTTAACGTCATTGTGATATTGATTAATTTAAAAAAAGTTTTCTAACATATGTTCCTTTTAACGAGATGTTTCATTTTTTTGATTGTGCTACTGCTGTACTCAGGTAACCTGGGGTCACTCTGATGCTGAACCTTGTGCCATTGGGATGTCAAATGCTGTAATGGTTAACCATTGTGGACAGTGTTTGGTGGAGCTCCCAGTTTAAGACAGGTTTGGAAGTAGGAGTGGCATCCACTTCCTAAACAACATGCCTCTGGAAACTCTATGAACTAGTTATAGAAAGGCGTCAGGCCTTTTGTTCATAGGGCTGCTATGAGTCATGCTCAACTCAACAGCAGTCAATAACAACAGCAACAACAACAACAACAAACTGTGTTTAACAGCCTAGAAAATGGACTTTTACTGAACAAAAAGCATTCAATCTGAATTATAGCTGATTCTTTTTAAAAAGGACAAAAATATTTTCATAGGAGTGGGCCTAGGTGTTGAGTTGGCAGGGCAGACGTGTGCAAATTAACTCATTAATCAGTGACATGGGAACCAGGGGGAGGATGTAGTAGAAGTTATAGTCCAGCCTTTGCGAGTGTAAGGAATGCTGTACCATTGACATTAACGTGGTCTAAGTGAAGGGGGCTTATCAGGGAAGATCATTTTAGTTTTTAAGATGTTGTATGTGACATGATAGTGGGGCATGAAGGTGATAGTATCCTGTATGCATACTACTTGTGTTCATCTTGGTCCCCAAAGTGAACTTTGTAGTATTGTTTTAGGCATCAGAAGACTGAACAATGACTAGGGATGATAGAAAATTGATTCCTTTGAGCTGTGGTGTTGAAAAAGAATATTGAAAAGGTTTGTCCTGGAGAGGGTAAAACCAGGCTGCTCCTTGGAGGCAAGGATTCTGAAGCTTCATCTGACATTCTTTGGGCATGTTGCAAAGAGGGACCAGTCCTTGGAGAGGGATGTCATGCATGGGAGGATGAAGGAACGGAGAAAGAGAGGGAGGCCACTGATGAGATGGATTGATTCAGTGACTGGGTAATGAGAGTAGGTGTGTTGAGACAGTGTAGTTGGCCCAGGATAGAGCAGGTTTCAGTGCTATTGTACATAGGGTTGCTATGAGTTGCAAGCGACTCGATGACACATAACAACAACAACAACAATTATTTTCTAAGAAGATTCAGTATTAATGTATTTTCTCTTAGGTGCCTATATAAATAATGCAGGTAACACACAGGAAATGATCATGTAAGGGGCTATATGATTTGCAAAAACATGTAATGTGTTTACTATTTGCATAATACATAATAAAAATAATAATACTTCTACAGAGCCAAAAGCATTTGACACTCTTGTGATTTTGTTGTTAAGAAAATCTCTTTGGACAATGGTAGTTGTTTAAATGTGTTTGTGTCTTTTTTAGAACCTCAGTATCTGTACATTTGATGGAATGGTCCCCTGATGGTGAATATTTTGCTACTGCTGGAAAGGTAAAGGACCAAACAAAACAAAAGAAAGAAATAAAAAACTAAAAATGCCTCTTATTTTTCTCAGCTGTTTAATTAGGATATTCCTGCTCTGAAAAAAATGGTTTGAAGAAGAATGATGCAGTTGATAAAAAACCCCCAACATGGTGTCTCCCACAGTGTTAGGCATTTAGGAAAAAAACAACTACTATTGTTATCCTTATGTAAACTTACGTAGCTCTGGTGGCCTCGTGGTAAGAAACTGTATTGTGATCCCGAAGGCACGTGGTTTGAATCCATCAGCTGCTCTGTGGGAGAAGGATGAGCAGTCTCTTCCTGTGTGATTAACTGCTTGTGAAAACCTACTGGAGGGTCAGCTATGTGTTGGTTCTGACTCGATGGTATTCAACAACAACAACAATGTGACCTTAGTTTATGTTTGTATAAAAAATTTTTAGCACCATGACAGAAGAAGAAATTGAGGTTATTAACCATTTCAGCTTTCTTGGCTCCACAACCAACACACTTGGCACTGCAGTCAGGAAATCAAAAGACAAATTGCATTAGATAAATCTCCTGTCAAGGATCTGTCAGAGTACTGAGAAGTAACAGTGTTAGTCTAGAGACTAAGTTGTGCCTGATCCATGCCATGGTCTTTGCAGTTACTTGATATATATCAGAGATCTGGACAATGACTAAGGATGACAGATGAAAAATTGATATTTTGACTGGTGCTGGAGAAGAGTCTTGAACATACCACGGACCACCAAGAAAACAAATAGATCTGTCTCGCAGAGAGTGAAATCACATTTCTCCTTGGAGGCTAGGATTTTGGAGCTCCGTCTCACATACTTTAGGCATGTGGCCAGGAATGACTGGTCCTTGGAGAAGGACATCATGCTTGGAAGGGTAGAGGGATAGAGCAGGAGAGGAAGACTGTTGCAGACTGAGGGCAAAGTAATAATGAGACAGACAACCAAGAATGAGATAAGAGAGAGTAAAGACAGGGGGCCAGCATCCCTGATGATTGAAGCACTCAAGCCATGCCTCTCTGTATTTATTGAGAATCATCGGGAAGGTGAACAAAGGATAATCACAGGGGAGTAGAAAACAAAAACAAAGGATCATGGGGAAGTCTCTTGCAGATAAGGGGAGTTCTCTGTTGTTTACCTTATGCTAATCATAGGAGGGAGGGATTCAATAAATACAAATTAAGAACATGTTGACTCTTAAGGAATGCCTTAGTGCCTCAGGATGAACTCCAGCTTGTATTACACCTCCCTTATATCCTGATATAGCATTTGGTTTATTATTAATATTAAATTTGATATTCAGCTTCCCACAAAAGACCCGTAATTGGAGTAATAGGGGTAGGTGTGTTGGAGTCAGTGAGACTGGCTCAGGACAGGGCAGGGTTCAGAGCTGCTGTATGTTGGGTCATTATGAGTCGTAAGTCACTTGACTGTACATAACAACAGCTATAACATTAAAATAGCACATGTAGATAATTTAAAAATAAAAATCATATTAAATTCATGATGAAAAGAAGCCTCATCTTTTCCACTGTTAATTCCTTTATCCTGGTGTCAGTTCTCTTTTGATATTTCCCTTTGTTTCTTTTATTTTGTAGATTTAAAGGACATTTTGGTAGTTTATCTTAAATCATAGTGTTAGGCTAAATGGCAGTGAAATTGTGAATGCATAATGTTTTTTAAATGTCAGTCTTTCTTACTATTTGAACAGTGTAAAAATTGCTAGAGAAATAGCATATGGTTGCTACCTTATTTGGAAATTCCTTTGTGCAAATTCAAGCCTAACTTTTTCTCCCAAATTTTGTATTTTATTTTTTTTTCCTGTCCTTGCTTTGATAGGCCATCCTCTAGTAACTTTCTGACAAAGGGGAAATGGGGAAAAACCTATTTTGAGGCCTTGTATGTCTGAAATTTTTTCCATTTGTTCTTTGACTAGATTGATCTTTGGCTAGGCATAGACTTGAGCTGCAAACAATTTTCTTTGGCATTTTTAAGTCAAAATGCTATTTCCTCTGATTTCCAGTGGTTCTGTTGAGAAAGATAGTTACACTTGCTATCCTCCCAATTGCTTCTCCAGCCCCTAGTTAGAGAAGTTTTAAAATTCTGCCTCTATTTTGAAATTTTGTGAACTTAGTGGTATAGGTCAGGTGTCTGTAAATATTTAAAAATATTAGCTCTAAAAGGTCTAAAAGACTTTTTGTGTACCTAGTTTGGTGGATAGTCTAGAAACTCATGTGCTTCAGTTCTGGAAGATTATTTTGTATTCCTTCTTTTGTTTAATTCTCTGCCCTAACATGTTGTCTCCTTTTCCTGCCCATTGTTTATTTTCATGTGGGTCCTTCTATACTCTTCCTCTAATTTGCTTTCTTTTCTCTTTAATTTAATTTATGGAGGATTTTTCAGCTTTAGCTCTATTTTTTTTCTCTTGTGTCACATTTCTACAGTTTTTTTTATCTTTATATTCTGAATGCTTTTTTAAAAATTATGATGTTTCCAGAGTACAACATGATATTTATATAACTTCTGTATAACCCAAACCAACTCTATTACCATTGAGTAGATTCTGACTCAGTGATCCTTCATCAAGTTCCTGAGGCTGAAAGTCTTTATAGGAGAAGATTACACATTTTTTCCTTATGGCATGATTGGTGAGCTCGAACTACTGACCTTTAGGCTAGCAGCACAACACATCACACGCAATACCACCAAAGTTTCTTAACTGCCGTGTAAGATATAGTAAACAAATACATGTGTATCTTTGCCCAACTCTAAGGCAAAGAAAAGATTATTAATGGATATTTTACCTTTCTACTTGCATTACTTCCTTTGCTTTCCACACTAGTCAACTAGAATCCTGAATTTTATTTATTTCGTGTAGTTGCTGTTATGTGTCAAGTCGCCCATGACTCATAGTGACCCTATGTATAATAGCTCTGAAGCCTGCCCATCCTGAGCCAGTTTCATTGACGTCGACATACCGAACTCCATTTCCCTGGTTATCATGTTAATTAGTTACTTCTGTAATTGGGGAAATGTCTTTCATCTGCTCCTTTCTGTAAAATACTTGTCTATCAGATATTGTTCTAAAGCTGAGCATCTAAATTAATATAGACTGGGAAGAAGAGTTGGCCACTGGTTTCTGAAAAAACAGCCCTCCAAAAACCTTATGTACAGTAGAGCTAATTTAATAGTTGCGATTTAACACTTTTAAACCCCAGATAAGATTGTTCTTAGAAGGGGCTATTCCTTGGAGAAGGACATGATACTGGGAAGGGTGAAGTGTCAGGGAAGGAGAGGAAGACCCTCATCTAGCTGGATTGACACAGTGACCGCTGCAATGGGCTCTTTTGTGTCAGGAAGTGTGAGGATGGTGCAGAATAGAACAGGGTTCAGATCTTTTGTTCGTAGGATTACTATGAATAGTACTTGATGGCACCTAACAACAACAGTTTGTGCTCTGTGATTTCTATTTTGTACCCAACTTCAACAACTAATATATAGCTGACATTGTTTCATTTATACCACCCCAACCTAGCTGAATTATTATTTGTTTTGACTAATGTCACTGTTGTTTATTTGTAAACATTTATATTTTTTAGGAATAAAGAGTTCAAAAATCTTTAATATGCTTGTGTTAATAGTTTGAATTTATCAAAAATTGTGTTTTTAGCTTAAGTTATTCTGTATTCTACTGTCATAAAATACTTTTCTTCTAAAAGTTGAAAATTTTTGTCTTGTAATTAAATTCTTAACCTAAGTGAATTTTTATTGTTTCATTACAGTTTGTTGAATAAATATTTCATTCTTCTCACACTGATCCACCATGCCACTTTAAACATATATTGAAATAGGGAGTTCTGTTGGTATGCTCTTGAGTGAGTAGTGCTGCTAACACAAAGGTGTCACCTCTTTGGCTGTTCGAATCCACTCTGCAGGAGAAAGATGAATAATCTCCCATGCAATTTACAGTCACTTAAAAACCCACGGGAGGCTCAGCTGTCAATTGGTTCTGATTTGATGGAAATAAGTTTGAGTTTTTAAATTTTATTAGCAGAAATAACATGAATAATTTATTTGACACATGTGTATGGATTTCTCTTGAGTGTATACATGTTGTTGTTGTGTACCATAGAGTTGGAACCGACCCATAGGTGGCCTTCCATCAGGTTTTCAGAGGCAGTTAATTGCATGGGAGGAGATTGCTCATCCTTCTCCTGTGAAGCAGCTGGTGGCCTCGAACTGCATGCCTGTGGGATTGGAGCACAGCTTCTTGCCAGTAGGCCACCATAGGAGTAGAACTAGTCATTTTGTTACTGGTTGTCCTCAAGTCAGCTCTTACTCATAGTAGTGACCCTATCCTGCACCATCCTTACAACCACTGCTCTTCATAAGCCTGTTGGATTCACTGTGTTGATTAGTAAATCCACCTTGGAGAAAGTACTGAACCATAGATTATATACCTTTAATCTTAATATAAAATGTGAGTAATTTTTCCAAAGTGGATAGTATTAATTCACATTCTTACTAGTAGTTCATTTTTCTTTCTCCTTCTTGCCTACATTGATAGGATCAAGCATTTTAATATCAATGAATTTGTTGGATGCAGAGGGATATACTTCACTATAGTATTAAATCTCACTTTTCTGATTAGGCATGAGATTAGTACCTTCTCATATGTTTATTTGGTATTTGAATGATTTCTTTTATAAATAACTGATTAAATTCCCTTACTCATTTAAAAAACTAGTTCTTAATCATTTAATTCATGGTTATGAATTTTTAAAAGAACTTTAAGTTATAGGAAAAAAGTCTCATTGCTGTCAAGATGGCACTGACTCATTGCTGTCCGTCCAGTGGGTATTCAGAGGCTGTACAAATCACACAAGAGCTAATTTTCCCTCATGGAGCCACCAGTCAAGTCAGAGTGCCAGAGAGGTGCCACCGTAGGCCCAGCAGCTCAACTCCCTATGGACTGGGCCACCAGAGCTCCCT